CTTCTAATGTAAAAGTATGCAGAACTTACCTGGTAAGTAACGTAAGCTGAAGCACTAGGACCTTGAGACCCTGCATAGGAAGTGCTTTGATTTATTACTACCTTGTGAATTTTGCCAAATTTTCCAAAATATTCATGCCGCTTTAATATCTGAAAATTAATTATTACAAAAATACTAAATGTCAACAATAATATTTTATTTAAATTATTAGTGACCTTACTTACATCAGCATCCGCAAGTCTCAATGGTAATCCTACTACAAATACTAGATTTTTTTGTACTACTCTCACATTTGCTAGATGTTTACGGTTTTCTGTAACCCTCTGCTTACGTTGCTGATCTTTTAATCTCTTTTCTGCTTTTAATCTAACAAGGAAAATGAATATAATAAATATCAATGATTCATATAAACACAATAGATATCATAAAATGGCTGTTACATACCTTGCAATTTCTTCCATACTGAGAGGTTTAAAATCGGCAGGATTTTCAGAATAGGCCTTCCGACAAGCAGGGCATAAACCATTTTCATCTGTACGAATTCTATGCCAGCAAAATCTACATATTTGATATCCACAAGTACATGGAAAGAAATTCAAATCATCCACTTCCAATGGTTCCATACACAAAGGACATTCCACTGCATCTTCTCCACTTTGATTCAATACTGACATTTTTGTTTCTAGTTTTTATATCACACAATATAGTAAGTTACCAAGATTTTCTTTAGTTATAAATCCTGCACACAAATAAAAAGTATTTTACACAAGGTATTTAACACTCTTTCGATCATATATATAAAAAATGTGTAATTATCAATTATCAAAGTATTTTAATCATGGTAATAATATTATCAATGTAATACACATGGTAACACTGAAAATGCTTGGAATATACATTTTAATTGAAAAATAACATCATTATCAATGTAAATTTGATACACATACGTGCAAAGTCTCCACAATGCCTTGATACTATGTAATTGACTGTACTTGCAACTTCTTATACACTAATATCCTTGCACAATCTGAAACAAATAATGGGACATTAAAACATTGTACTATAAAAATGTTATGAGTCAGACGTGTCATCGAGTATTAGCAGCCGTTTTTGTGGAATTCCACGTCAATTCGCAAGAAAATCCTTTGCAACGTACGTCGTAACGGAATTTCTTTTTCGGAAATATTTCACCGTGGAAGCGTTGAAATGAATCATATACCAGAAGGAATTAAAACAGAATATTTTCTCGCAGAAAATATAATAGAAGACGGTGACTGTTTAGCTGACAGATTTGACGAACAGTTGGAAAGGAAGGGTCCGTTTGACAGGAGCTGTCAGACGAACGTTAAACGAACAAATAACGCCTTAGATTTCAGAGAATTAGGTTAATCGCGTATGCCCTATGGTGGACGTAGAAATGACAAGTTTGTACGTGAGGTTGAGAACGACGACGAAAAACTTGCGGTAGGGCCCACCGTCTGTATTCTCCCACTCACTTTCTCTCTCTCTCTTTCTCCCTCGCTCTTACGGTGAGACACGAACTATACGAGAGGGCGACGATCGGATGAAACAGCTGTTGGTGGCGTCGAGAGAAGCGAAGAAACGTCAGAGAGCGAGTGAGAGGTACTACGCTATAGCAGGAACGTACGTGAAAATCCGTGGAAAAGTCGGCGTGGTGGGACATGACACGTAAATTCCCCGAAGATTCAAATACAACTATTCACATACGCAAGGACGATGGCTCGATGTTTCGCGTTACGATTTTGAAGGGGGGAAAAGGCGAGCGAGAGAATGAGGAATGGAAGTAACGAAAAGGAGTGGCGGAGGAAAAGAGAGGGGAGGGGAAGAGAAGAGAGAGTAGAAGGAGCAACAGAGAGAAGAGTAGAGACAAAACGAGAGAGAAAGAAACAACATACAAAAAGGAAGATAGATAGAATAACGATGCCATCATTCGTTTTGTCCCTTTTTAGCCAATGGTCGTTGTCTTGATCTTGCGCGTGAAAGAAAAAGACTCTCACCGATTTCTCATATCTGTTGTACCTACTTTTTTAAAAGAAACCCGTGATCCCAGTTCAAATGCAAACAAGTAATGGCCTCAACTCAAATATTTCAGTTTATGAAAAAAAAAAAAAACTGTAGTACAGCGCGATTAACATAGTATGGCTCGCGGCGAACGTCACAAAGGATTGAATGATTTGTCGTCAGAGGGGTTGCTAAATACCCTGGACTGGTTACAGGGTATACCTGGTTCGTTTAACCTTAACTTCGTTACAATAGAGAAACTTTTCGACAGTCCTCGGTAATAGATAAACCGCGTGCCACCGTTTTCGTTGATTCTAGAGTTATGTTCACGCATTCGTCCGTCCAAATTTCTTGACTCTTGTTTACTTACGTTATAACTTTTCCACTAACAAATCTCTTTTCTGTACTGGGAAATTTTTGTACAGTCTTCTAGATCTGGTCGCATGCGCACCGCGACTGCGCAGAAGCGGACATTACATATACTGGTATTTAAAGAAAGGCGCATAGGTAAAGGATCCTGAAAGCGCATGTCAAACTAAAACTTCGATTATGTTATTATGACCGTACAAATCTTTGCTTCCCATTCTTTTTTTATTCAGTTAGATAGGTTTATTATTTACGCGTGATATAAAATGGGCACTTAACGAATGTTTTTTATAGTGTTTCAAGTTCTATTGGAAATTTTGATGCTCATAGTTTCTTCTATTTTATATTTACCGCGCACTCGGAAATGATCAGTGACTGACATGACAATGACACCAACGTATGAAGACAAATGTTCCTAGTATTGGATAAAATAAGGTACATTCTCATCGAACGAATTCTATTCTTTCAAAGTAATTTCAATTAATTAAATGTAAAACTCATTCATTCATATTACATTTGTCGTTGATATGGGATACAATAACATTTTGTCAATTTTCCATAATAATCTAAAATTAAATGTTGCGTTTTATTATAAAGCAACTAACTTTACAGTTTGTATTGTTCAGTTAAAATTATCTCTATGTATTTTCATCTGTTGATTTAATTTCTCATAAACAAATGAGGGTGCAAATAAATTTTTATAGTTAATGTAGTACACAATTTCCTAACGATATACAATCTTAAAGCAATGTATTATATATAATATTGTTTTCTCCTATTATCATCCTTTGCCTTTAGACCAATTACTTTATTACACTTTTTCAACATTACCTTTGTAATTGACACCAAATAATGGATGCCGAGTTCTCAAATTTTTTGGGAATGGTACACTGCAGTTTTCTATTTGCATTGGTTTAGTTTTTGAAATACTTGAAAGTTTTCGTCTGATAGTAATTGCACCTGCTGGCTTTATATTGACTACATGAAAAAAATACGAAATGTTAGAAGAAGCCACTGATCACATCTTGAAATAGATAAAAAAATATATTACCAGTTTTATATCGTGGTTTTACTTTACCAGTATGAAGTACACATGTAACATTACATTTAACTTCATGATGCACTGCACAGTATTTTTCCTCTTTAATTTTAAATTTAGATTTCTCTCCAAATATTAATATTTGACCTTTAAGTTCGTTTGGATCTATCTATAAGTTGCATGATATTTATAATATCAATATATTATTTTTTTATTTAAATATATTTAACTTACTGTTCCAGGAATATCCATGATCCATATGTCTTCACTATCAGACAGATCGTCTAAACTCAATGTAGTATCTGTAGTTTCCATAATTAAGTCTTCTTGTTGTACTAAATCACTGATCTAAAATAAAATTGATAAAATAATTTTATGCAAAGATTTCTGGTACAGAATATATATGAATTAAATTTCATTTACAGTACGTGGTCTTGTAATAGATGTTACATTCATTGATGCACTGTTGTCAGTTATTTCACTTCTTATTTCTTTGTTATTTTCTACATGTTGCTCCACTTCTATCACATTTTTTTTCTCAGCTTTTTTCAAAATACTTTTCTTAACTATAGGTGAATTAACATGCGGACTGGCAGGTTGAATGTTTGGATTGATCGTTATAGATTTATTACTCTTTGACTGAGGTGTTTCAGTTTCTGTGGTATCCATTAGGACCATGCTTTTATTTAATTGAGTATTTAACTTAGTTAAAGAATCATCTACATCTAAATCAGTCATATTCGATAAAACTATAAAATTATAGCTTAGATTTATAAAATTCTTATAGTTTCCAAATTTTTCAAACGAAATTTATCAAGTTATTAACATTTATGTACAAAATACAATTTGCACAATTTTTACATACTTCGCTATATTTAAAAAGTCTATTGTAATAGTATGGTGTAGTTTAATACACTATATAAATGAGATGAAACATTAAATTGTCAGATAAATATATATAATGTTCAAAATAATCAAATGTACACGTTTTATTGGTATATACGTCTTCCAATACTAGGTTTTATATACAATAGTAACATCACAATAAATTTGAAAACAAAACCGACTAATTCATAGGTTGGAATTGGAATCTACTATTAGATCTTTATACTTATATCATGATGATTTTTCTAGTTGTTCCACAGTACAGATGCTGCACCATGCGGTCAGGTGTTGAAGGTGTTCCACATTAACATATACAAGAACCTATAATGTTAGGGATCTGCCCTCTTTGGTTCCACGCTAGCGTATACAAGAACCTATTTAGTTTCATCACAAACGAGGTGTGTTTGTTGCGGTATCGCGCTACAAGAGTCTATTTTTCATTGTACGGTTCTATGGAAAAGTTCATACTTTTCTATCCGAGATAAACAATTATGAGAATAACAAAATCGCGCAACAATTAAATTTAGTTGGCTCAAAAAGAGAAATTATCTGTTTGTTATATTTTTTTTTTTAGAGAAGAAAAGAAAATCTTTCCTTTTAAACAATATGTAATATCTACAATAAATTATATAATGAATATTTCAATATATAAATAAATAAATAATAATAACTGAATTGTATTACTATTAAAATATTGTCTATTTAATTAAAGTATTTGCCGTACGGTAGCGTAATAGACGATATTTTGAGATAAACAAAAACGTGGTTACTCTAGGTTTTTTAATATCACTGATTAATTTTGATTCAAAGCGCCTATTTTTTAGAAATCGGACGTCGGTTGCAGTATTTTTCAAGTGTTGTTAGTTTTGTGGTACATTTAGTCTTAAAATAATTACATCACATACGAAATGTCTACCGAAAATTTACGACGATCTTCACGACTAAAAGGTAGTATATAGATTGCTGACGATACACTGTAATTTTAATTTTTGTAGATATGTTTATTTACAATCTATTATTAAATAACTTATTTTTATTCTAGTAAGAAAACCTAAAAGGTATATGTCATCCAATTCAGATGAAAATTTGGATGATAATCCAGTAAATGCAGTAGAAGATGAACTTAGAGATGTAGAGGAGAATGTACAAAAGCCAGTTGGTAAATTTTCAATGACAAATTTAGTATTAATTTTTCCGTTTTTTCCAAAATTAAAAAAATGTATTATTTATTTAGAATTATTTTCAAGCGATGATGTAAGTGGACAGGCATTATATAAATTCCAAACACCTAGTAGAAAAGATGCTATGACAAAGAAGGCACATTTATGTCGTACACCTATTAATGATGTTTTATTACCCATAGCTAAAGTTGTTCTTGAAAAGATAAATGTTTATAATAAAGAACAACCAAAAACATCAAAGAAAGACCAGAAAATTTCAAAAAGTATAGCTTCTAAAATAATATAACATTCTTCATTTATTATACATTTTTTAGCAATAATATAAGACTACTAATTTCTATTTTTAAATATTCAGTTCCTGTTATTCAAAGAAAATATGAATTTGGATTAACATCAAGTGAAAATGAGAGTATATCTGAATCTAGTGATTACCATCCAATTGAAGATACTGAAGAAACAACCGATAGTGAGGATGTAGTATCTAGCAATGACGAAAAAGATCAGATGAAAATAAGGAACCAAAAGCAAAAATTTATATCACAGTCACATTTATTGAATACACCAAAAAGAGTAACTAGAAAAAATAAACCTTCAATTATTCATAAAGATTTTGTAAGTAGAATATGATAAATTTCATTAAAATATGGATATATGAATTATACAGTACATTATTACTGTTATATCTCATATTTTTAAAGCATATGCAAACTGATGAATACTTTGCAACACAATCAGAAAAGGTAGTTACATCCGATCGGACATTAGAACATTTACGTAATTCTCGTTTAACAAAAGAAAAATTGGAAAAATTGTTAACAAATCAAAGTCATGTGTCTTTACAACATAAAAAGAAAATTTATTCAATAACTAATAACTACTCTACGCTGTTCCCTATGTGGTATTTTATTATGGAGTAAGTTAAGAACAAAATATTGAAACCTATAAGCTTTTAAAAAAATTTAGTAATACGTATTACTTTATTGTATTTTAGGCAAGGCTATACTGTATTGCTTTATGGCTTAGGTTCAAAAAGATGTTTAATCAATGATTTTTATAAAAGTATATCTTATCATCCATCACTAGTAGTTAATGGATTCTTTCCTAGTTTAACTATGAAAGATGTAAGTCATATAAATAGAGTTGAGATATAAATATTTAAGTAATATGATGATTAAAAATAGTGCAATATTTTTTAGATACTTGATGGTATAATTATTGATTTATTGGAGTTAAATTGTCCTAGCAATACAACTGAATGTATTGATCTTATTGAAAAAACCTTAAGGAAAAATCCAAAAGACAGATTGTATTTGTTAATACATAATATAGATGGTATGATGCTACGTTCAAATAAAGCTCAAGATTTACTATCTTGTCTTGCAAATATACCAAATATTTGTGTTTTAGCATCAGTTGATCACATTAATGCCCCGCTATGTATGATCAATTTCGTATTATATTTTTAATTCATTACATTTTTAGTAATTCTTATATGATTGTATATTTATAGTATGGGACCATACAAAACACTCCAAATTCAAGTTTTTTTGGTGGGACACAACAACATTTCTATCTTATCAAGAAGAAACATCTTATGAAAGTTCGCTCTTGGTTAAGCAAAGTGGTGCTCTTGCTTTATCATCTCTTCATAATGTTTTCCTTTCTCTAACTTCAAATGCTAAGTCAATCTATTTATTGCTTGTAAAAAATCAGCTAAGCAACAGTAATAATGTTAATTTTACTGGTAATTTCAAATTTATAAGAAAAGTATTACATATAGAATTAATACATTACATATATAATTTCAAACATAATAATTTATTTACAAATTTCTATTAATAGGAATGGCATTTAAAGATCTTTATCGAGCTGCTCGTGAAGGATTTCTTGTAAGCTCAGATTTAGCATTAAGAGCACAATTAACTGAGTTTATAGATCACAAGTTAGTTAAAATAAAGCGCAATATTGATAGTATTGAACATCTTATCATTCCATTAAGTTCTGGACTTCTAAAGCAGTTTCTAGAAGAACACGATACATGATATTTTTTACTACCTGTAGCATATAAAATATGGTAAAGTATAAGTATTTATACTTTTTGATATTTTTTATATACCAAATTTATTAAAAAATTTATATTTTTCTAAGAAAAAAGAAAAAACAATAAAACTCTATAAAAAATATAATGGACCACATAATTGTTATGTCATGTCCTTTACAAAAGTTTTACAGATATCTAAATCTAATTGTTATATTTAATGTGTAATATATTAATATATATACATTTCTATAGGTCATATAATTATTAGGTTCTAAGTAATTAATTAGGATATGTATACGTATAGGTTTATACAAATTAAAACATAGTTAAGGGTTAAGATATATTTGCAATATCATGTTGGTAGCATTCGGTGTGGTACCACGTTGGTACTATTCAATGACGCGAAGCGCCAGTGGTAGTAGTATCGTGCAATTCGTGTATTATTTTTTACGTATGATTATGACACGATAAGCCGGGTAGTGTGTAAAATACAGTAACAGCTAACAGCTATAAGATGTCAAATACGTTAGGTTAGATAGTAGGCGGAATTACGCGCTAGCAAAAGGTTAAATGGGTTATTAACGCATGTATGTGGTCCACAATTTGATAGGTAATTACATTGTTAGCAACTGTTATTTCTGGTGATTTAGTGACGAATAAAATTTGAAAAAAATCGTTAATATCATGTAAAATAATACAACACTATAGAAAGTACAATAATCATATAATGCAGTATACGGTTACCGGCTTGTTATTGCTCGGTTTTGATCTAACCTAACTTTTTGCCGTAGAACTTTTAAACAAGGTTATTCAATCCTGCTGGGATGCTTTACCTTTTTTTAGCTACAAACAATGTCATAATTTCGCTGAAAATGTTAGTGTGTGGGCATGTGCGTGTGTGCAACGTTGCGTGAATTACAGTTTCGATTTGACATTGTAAACATGACGACTTGACCTTACAATGGCAAGTTGGACGACCTTGACTTTGGCAAGTATACAATGACCGAGTAGTCACTCTTATCGACTAGAATCAAACTTTCTACGTATAGTTTTGATAATTTAATTGATGAAATTTCATATTGTCAATCAACCTTTTGCATAATACAACCTTTTATTCTTAGCAAGGAGCAACTGCAAAAAATGTTTGATCTTTTCTGTCATAAAGGTGTAACAAATTCTTGTCTTTTTTTTTTATTATCACCCTATTGAACGCATGTCAAATATTTTATAACACGTCCCTAGTTATATCCATATTACAAAAGGAAACAATGTTTATATTGCTTCACATATTTGTATTTTTATTTATGATGTATATTATTAGTCTTGCTTGCTTTGAATTTTAAAATTAAAAAATTAAAACAAGAAATAAACGAATAACGTTAAAAATAAATTAAAACAATATTTGATTTTTCTTTCTTTCTCTTTTATTTATATTTGAATGTGTTTACTACCTTCTTATTCGATTAATGATACAAGAATATGCATTCCAAATAAAATGCATATAGTAAAAATTGTAATCTTTTAATTCTTATATAGGTATTTTTCATTGTTGTAGGTAACCTATAAACACATTTGCTGTGGCACTGAAGTAATTACATTGGTACAAGAGCTTCGGTGAGTTATTTAATATGAGTTTAATTTTATGACAATTTATCTTAAGATTGACATTGATATAACATATGATATTATACTGTGTATTTTCTCTAGTACATATTGATTTTATTCAACTAAAATGTTGGCATTTGAGTTTGCAAATTGTCAACATAAGTTTTAATTGCATACTAATCACACTAATTAATTGCAATAATTAGAAATAATATTAAGGAATAATGTGGTTGTTAAATTATTTAGATGCAGAATGGATTATAAATAAATAATATAATTAATTACAAAACAACATAATTATTATTTAACAGCCAAATGTATGTTATAGCATAATGTATAAACTACAAAAGCATTGAAAGAAAAAGTGATAAAAATGATTTATAGTTTTATTCAATATATTTAAATTTTCGTTCAAATTTAAATACATCAAAATTTAAAAAAATGTTGTTTTAAATAATATGTATGGTTATCAATGTCATACAAAATACAGATTATTAAATCAAAAAGACAACTGATTAATTTATTATATAATGTATTATGAATTGTATGTTATATGAAGAGAGAACACGAAAGACTAAAATATGGTCGTGTTCTTAAACAAATTTTTGAGTAATTTTTCATTAATGTACATATATTTACATTTCATATGTGCATCATTAATATATACATATACATTTAATAATGTATGTATTATGCTTTAGTTTTCATTTAAATAGTATTTTAATAGAAAAATACTGTTTAAAATGTATTTTTTAAAAATATTTCTAGTTTATCATTTTACTTTTTCAGTACAAAATAATTACTTTCTTTAAATTACCTTTTTGAAACTAAAAAGACATAATAAAATTATCTTATTTTAATGTGATGAATGAAGTACAGCAACCATCTTTATCGACGGGTTGGTCTTTGATGATGCTTTAAATTTTATGATTTCTAGCACTAGGGATCGTTTGTAGTTTCCTGTCATTTCAAACGATTTTTTATAGCTGTGTTTAGTATCGTTTTTAGAATTATTTTAAATTAATTTATTTGTTCAGTGAGTAAAAGTGTTGTTAGTATTTCGTGAAATCTTACACTTGAAGCAGAGGCATAGAAAAGAGAAAATTTTATTGTTTAAGATTTTCAGAGATATCAAAATGTTATAACGTAAGTACAAAATGACGCTTAAAAAATTATTTATGAATTTGAAACAAAATAAAAAATCTGTTGCATAATATTTAACTGCAAATGAAAATCATATGCTTTTATTTTCTCTAATATATTATCGAAATCAAATTAAAATACCATCTAAAATATTGTGAGGTTAACAGAGAGTAAGGACTATCCATCATTGTCAAATAATGGTGGGATTCCAATTATTGAAATGATGTAATGTTTTTTGAATGTCCAATAACGTTTTTAGGAAATATTATTGTATTCTCACATTGTTTATCGAGCAATTATAACTTATGTTATTTTCGAAAATTGTAAATTCAAACGACTGTCATAGATTATCACTGCGTGACTCAATACAACTGCAATTATCCAGTATTTAATTTAATCATTCACCACAATTGCGTTACATTAAATGTGGTATCAGAATTAAATTTAGAATGAGAAATCTAATACCTAATATCACGTATTTTAAGTTTCTCCTGGACTTTATTCGTTTTTCGTTACTAATATCACGTAGCGACGCTCATGTGAATTTCACTTTTCTCAAGACAAACCAATTTCTCCGAGTGGTCTGTCCATTTCTTCGACGGCCATTAACTTTTACTTTCGTACTAACTTATTTCGCGTACGATGAACGTTAAACGACATTTGTCACGGTGAATGACACAACGTATAAACACAGTGTATAAACACGACGTATTTAAAGCCGTAAACGCTTCAACGTTTATTTCTCACGTTTTTCATTTCAACTTTATTCGTCCGTAATTTACAATTCTTCCACGAGATTCAAAATCTTCGTTTTCAATGAGTGTTTTCAGTCCAGTCGATAAAACAGTTACCAATTTTTTCATGACGTTATCAAACGAGATTTCACGTGAACGCGAATTAACCCGAGAGAGTGCATTGGCAATATGGTAATTTCGAATTGCGAACACTATTGTCGATGATTCGCTGACGCACACAATGGCACAAAAGCGGTGCGCGCGGACGCTTAACCAATTTCCGCTTGTTTTAACCAAAATCGAGGTCGTGGAGCCGTTAAGCGTCAAGGATCACTTACGATCATCAAGTCAAGATTCTACGTGTATGACTCATGGAACTCTTTTATCTCGACTACATATGATTCCTTCCACATGCGTCCTCGTCATTATGCGTGCTCGCGAGCACATGACTACGTTTAATAATGTTCCATTGTTGTAATATCACCTCTTTTCTCGTTTGACCAGACCTAGCACGTCTTCACAATTTTCAATTTAGTTTTCATATGATGAAAGGCGTATACAATTTTTATAGATATAATTAGAGAAAGACAGAATAGATAAACGGCAGAAATGAACTTTATTTGGTAATCTAATAAGTATGATAGAGGATATATAGCGTTAAACTTTAGCTTTTGTCGTGAAAATTTTCATTATTTAATTATTTTATAATCCAGTAAATCTAGTTAAAATTGTCAGAATTATGAAATTCTTTAGTTTCTGGTTCAAGTATAATATTATTTCATAATGGCTAAAAATAATGATTAAGTGTTCTACTTTTGATGAATTATCCTGCATAATGTACAGCGTTAAAAACCGTTCCCGACGTTTGCTAAAAGCTCGAGCGTTTTCCATGTAAAAGCAGCATTTAACGAGATAGGAAACAACCGCGAAAACTTGCCTTTTTTTATTTCTATAAAAGTTGCTTGCCTTCCCGTTTTGTTTAGTTACTTGTGTAACGAGTTAAAAGATCTTGTGCGGTGGATAATGCGGCGCAGTTGTAAATGAAATCGCAAAACAAATACAACGTAATAATAAAAACGGTGGTCAGAAGCAAAATGGGTAAAATGAAATAAAAAGACAGGAAAATAAAAGTTTCCTGCTAGTCTCTTGGTACGTTCCATTCAATCGTGCGGTTTATATTTAATTTTCATACTTTCACAGAGTGCGTAATTCCAATTTCACGTGTATCATAGAATTAGTAATTGAACATTATTATTTCATTTCTGTTGATTTTCTGATTTTGTCGTTATTTGATTATATTAAAAAAAAACAAGTATTCTAATATAATGTAGTCGATCAGACGAGCAAATTCAAAAAGAGTGAGTAAAATTTTCCACAAATAAATCAAGCAACTTCAAATGTAATTCTTCGGTATTGATCCAACAAGAAATGAACCCTTCAAGCTGTCCACCCTTAAACTGTCCGCTCCTAAACTAATAATCCAAAAGAAGCGGGCGAAATCCCCAAATACGTTTCCCCAAATTACGACCACCTCAAACCTTCGCTTAGCTTTTCTATGTTCCATCTTCTTCAAATTAGTCTTCTCCAATCCGTTCGATTCTCGTAGAATCCCAAACTAGGCTCTTTCAACCAATGGTCGTCCCATTTGGCAAATTCTTCCACGATTGTGGAATATCGTTATACAACGGAACGTTTGACAAAAAACAAGCTGCCACGTCCACGTTGCTCGTACCTCTTCCGGTAATCAAGCAGGCGGTCGGTCGATCTTGTATTCAGGTTGCTGATAAAACCGGTTGAATCGATAGAGCGACGTTTCGGTCTGCAGAAAAGTTTGCCGGCGTTGGCTTCGCGCATTTATCCGGTTCCCGGTTGTTCGATGGAAACTGTAACCCCGCCACGGCATATTAAATATCCCCGAGACGGGAGATGACTGGGTGCTCGAGGGTGAACGCGCAACTTTGCCAGACCCGTCGTCTTTACCCAGCGATTCCTGCGGATTTCTCCCTCTGTGCACGTTTTGCATACATGCACACGCTCACGTATCATACAGGGTGTCCCATTAGAATGTTCCCATGCAGTTATTCGTCGTATGTAACGAGACACAAGGCTCTGATACAAATATTATTGTATATATTAGTAGAGGGGATGCATCAGGTTTCATGAGGTGGCCGCAGAGAACTCATTATAAAGAGAAATAGATCCAAACAACTTTTCTTTGGTACACAGAGTAACTTTAAAAATTCCAATTCTTTTTCGAGATGAGAAGATATATGTTAGTATCGTTTCGTTATTCTATTATTAAGATTTAAGTTGGCGTTGGATTAGAGTTTTAGCTAAAGTTTCAATTGGAGAGACTAAGGCGTTAAGTTAGATTTGGCAAGCTTTCTAGACATAAAGTTTGTATTTTTAGACATCGATTAATATCGATATTGATTATATATGAAACTTTGGATCCATATTAGGACAATTCTTAATGATTCCAATTATTTCAGGATTATTTTTATCCATACGCTATTGTCCAAATATTAATATCGCCTTCTACGATCAGGAAATATGATAAAGATATTCAAAATCTAGCGCGGGAAAATAAAATTTATCGTTCGTAATAAAACATATATATCAAGACAGACCGCGAGTTCCGCTCCAAACTTCTGTTTCGCTTTCTTCCTTTCTCATAACGTACATTTCCATGGAGACGAATTTGTGGAGAAAGTAACGAGACACCGAGTATATAGCCAGCTTTCAGGGAGCCACCCTCGAAAAAGCGTGCGTACTCGTATTCGGTGGTTCTGTTTTCACCCCGATCCCCTCTTCCTCTGTTGCGCGTGCTCTCCTGTTCGTGCACTTTCCGTTGGCCCGTCCTCTCCGTGTGTCCTCCTCTTTGTACAACCCGTTCTCTTTCATCGTTCCACGAAATTGTCGTTTTGTGCGTGGCGCACACATTGCCTCTCGCCTTTCCGTTCCTTTCCGTTTTGCGTTCAGTTTGCGTTTCGTGAAACAAGAACGACTTCTCTTCCGCGGGTGAGGAACGTTAATTCGAAACGGGCCGCGTTTCTCTGCAGGGTCGCAAGGGGAATAGTACAGGCTTTTCTCTTGGCTTGAAACGAGTCAACGAGAATATTGTTTCGACGG